TCTGTCCCCTGGGAATCTATTCCCAGGGGAAGGGGAGGGTGGCATGTTGGTGAAATGACCTCAGTCCACAGCCTCAGACACCTGGAGCAAATCTGTTTCCCGGGGCAGGAAGTTGCAGATGTCGGGGACACAGCCCCTGGGTCCCACAGGTTGGCTGGGGACTGGGATGAGGAAGGAGCTCAGGAAGGTTGGGCAATCTTGCTTTTTCCCACGGAGGAGACTGCTGGACTTATTCACAGGGCGGGTCCCAGGTGCTCCCAGCCCTGTCTGGTTCCACCACGGTTCCTTTCAGAGCCGTTGTGGAAGGAGCCACCTCTGAGTCTCAGAGCTCTGTCTTTCCTTAGGGATCCCAGGCTTTCCTGTCCTCTCCGGGAAGCCGGAGCCRCAGWGCRCCATTCCCAGGGAAGGAGCGCCCTCTAGTGCTGGGGAGAGGGAAGGCTGGAGGAGAAGGAGCTGCCAGCCAATGAGGAGCCAGCGGACTGCACCCTGACCTGCTGGGCCGGGACAGAGCAGGGTCCACAGGTATTTCTGAGACTGAGTGTTTCTTCTTCAGAGTCCCCCTCCAGGAGAGGGGGCTGGACTCCACCAAATGGAGAGTTAAGATCAGATTTCCTCTCCCTAGAACTGGGATCCTCCCTTCCCCCAACTCCTGCATCTCCCTCCTGGTTCTGTCCCCAGCTGGAAAGTCATCCTCACAGTGGACTCATCTAGGAGAGTTTGGATTTCTTGGTTGGACCGTTTTGGGGTCTTGTTGCCCTTGTCCGTAGAAATGGGGGTTGACCTTACAGAGATGTTGAGCATTAAATAAGACTCGTGTGCAAGTGTCTGAACAGGCCCTGCACCCAGTGGATATTCGATAAAATTGAGTCGCCATGACAACACCCTTGTCCCTTTCCTGTGGCAAGCAGGAGCCTCAGGAGGCCCACAGTGCGGCAGGRAGTCAGACGGGGTACGGTGTAGTCTGGGGGTGCTCCATCTGTAGAGTGAGCGTCGTAGTCATGTTAACTGTCAGTGTCTCTCCAGGCCTGCCGCTTGCCTAAGGGCTGCTAAACGTGCGGTTCCCATCGGTGTGCTGGGCCCCTGTGAGGATGCTGCCCTGGCTTCTCGTCTTCTCTGTTCTGGGTCTCCAGTCCTGTGGTAAGTTTTCTTTCTCTGGACCAAATATTGACTGAGAACATCTTTCCAAAATCTTGTACTAGGAATTCCCTGGGTTGAAAGAATCGCTTTATACTTAGAGCGTGGAATTTGGACTCTTTTGACTCAAACCTAGGTTTGAGTCCTTGCTCTGCTTCCGATAATGATTTTAAATAAGTTATGAGTTAACTCTTAATTTTCCAATCTGAAAATTGAGGTAAGGTCACCAACCTCGACAACTTATTGGAGAATCAAATGAGATAACACACACAGAAGGACTGAGCACCTGGAGAGTAAAAGCAAATAAACTGGAACGATGTATTATCATGATGTTATTCAGAGTCCGACTTGAGTTAGGTTTTTAATGTTAAAAAAAAAAATGTTCCTTAGAAAGAACAAATTTTTTTAAAAGCAGGGGTAAAAAAAAAAAAACCCCAATCAACCACAAAAGAAGAAAAAGATAAAAGTTCCTTGGAACTGTCACTCACTAGATGTAAGTTGATGCCCTGATGCTCTGTGCCCAATCCACGGCTGTCTGTCCTTCATGGACCATGGAGCCTGGGTTAGCACATGCCCTCCAATCACTCAGGCACTGGCCTGCTTCATGCAAGTAATCCTATATTGTTTCCCCGAAGACTCTTTCTCATGTTTCCATTAGCTAAAATTCACACACAAGAGGATTTTGTGGTTTGGAGGTGCCCAAATGCATTTCCAAGTTGTTTTTGTGACTTGTGTGTGTACATGCCACTCATGAGGATAGGMTGATATTTCTGACTCCCTGCCCATAACCATTAAGTCTCATGCCGGGTTGCGGGGACAGGCGACTCCATCAATCAGGGTCACTCTAAGTGAATTTGGGCTGACTAAATAAAGACACAGACACAGAAAGTTCCTATTTCTTTGGGTTCAGTGACCGCTCCTCAGCCACAGCTCCCACAAGGGGGGACGAGGCAGGCAAGAAAGAGAGGAGCGYGCCTCGAACCCGGGTTTCATTAGTGGGGGGAGCTAATCCATGGAACACTCTATCCAAAAAAGGGCAAAGGGTAGGGTTACAACAAACAGTGGGTGTAGCTCAACCCCACTGGGTGACGCCCCCTCCCAGCTGCACCTTTGTTATCTGAGGGAGTTGAGGTCCAGTCGCTTTGCAGTGGGTGCGGTACCAGCTCAGTACCTCTTCACTCAGGACTTAAAGGTGAGTACCCAGCTGCTGTCCAGAGCAGCTCCCGACACCAGGGCTTCACCTCGMGTGGGTGTTGGAGAAAGCCATGCCTCCTTCTGCTGTGGGAGCTGGTCCTCTGGTTAGTTGAGAGGGATTTCCTGGAGGTGGCTTGGGCATTTGGGGAGGCCAAGGGGCCGTGGAGAGGGGTTGGCTCCTCCTGGTCAGAGCCTGAGCCACCGAGAGGCCTGGTATCTGTAGTTTGATGCACAACGGAACCTTCCTTTGCAGCTGTTTCCTCCTGGGACAAAGCACACACCACACAGGTGTCRGAAGGTCTGCAGGCCTTGTTTGGCAACATCTCCCAGCTCATTGAAAGAGGCAAACTCGGTCTTGATGGTGAGGAATCTTGGGGACTGACTGGGGTTTCTCAGGTGGCTGGAAATGTTTCTCAGGTCCGCACAGCCACGTGACACCACGTCGTRACATGGGACGGGGCGAATGGAACCCCGTAGAGAGTACCACTGGCCGATCACCTCACGGATTGCCCTAGGTCCTTGGGATGCAGGGTCGGCGCCAGGTGGTGATAGAAATCCTGACCTCGGGGAGGAGATTGGGGTGGGAGACCCAGCCCCTGTCTCGAGGGAGCCTCGGGCCGAGGAGGAGATGCAGCCCTCTCTGGTGCTGCTCAGGACCCTCCAGGGAAAGTGGGTGAGACAGAGCTGCTCCCTGCAGTAGGCGCCTGGGCAGAGCAGGGAAGAGCTGGGAGGCAGTGTCTCATTGTGGTTGAGGATGTGCTGGGGTGGGGCAGCAAAGCATCCGGGCTCCCTGGCTGGATCAGACTCTGCCTAAGGGGTGGGATGCGGATGGCATGATCTGGGGAGGGTGTACCTGCCTGCCGAGGGCTTCCTCCTAACGCTCTTCCCCCACCACGGGGCAGATGCGGCCCAGACGTGCAGATGCGGCCCAGACGTGCACATGCAGCCCAGGTCGCTAATGGGCGACCACAGGGCAGGAAGCACCGAGTGACATCCCACGGTTCCTTCCCCAGATGTCTTCTCCATGGTCTCGCGCAAGGAATGGGGGGCAGAAGCTCTTGGCTGCAGCTCTCAACTGATCATGCCGGTGGATGTCCTCGTCACACATCATGTCCCTGGGCTGGAGTGCCACGACCAGGCGCTTTGCAGTCAGAGGCTGCRGGAACTGCAGGCCTATCACGTCCACAGCAACAGTTGGTGTGACGTGGCCTACAAGTAAGAGCTGGGGCCGGGTCTCGAGGCACAGGGCCAACCCTGCTCTGCGGGGCTGCTTCTCCGGGTCCTTCTGTTTTTGTCAGCTCTTTGTTCCTGCCACCAAAATACCCCACAAGGAGGAAAAGTTTTGTCCAGGGCTTGAGGTTTCAGGGTCTCACTCTCCTTACTCCCTCCCTCTGGCTTCTGGGATCACTTCCGAACACACCGTCTGCTTCCACGTTCCATGTCCTTGTTCAGGTACCAGGTATATGCAGGACAGGGACCCTGCAGGGAGAAATCAGGTGAATAGCTTGGGGAYGATTACATGGGCACCGTGCATTTTGGAGGAGGGAGGAGAGCCATGTTTGAGCTAGCGTGGTGTGGTTGGGTCGATGCTAATTACTGTGAAGACCAAGGACCCCTCCTCCTCTGAGTGCACGGATGATTTATGTTCAGCTCCAGGTCTGAGCAGGCAGTGGGCAGGGAGGGAGTGCTGCAGCAGGTCAGAATGTTAAGGGCTAGAATGAGTGACTGGGTCTTCCACAGTTTGGGAAGAACCACGTGAGCTCCTGTTAGTGAACATGGTCAAGCCCTTGTCCATCTGGAGCCTGGCACATGGTTCCTCTCTTGGGGTGGGTCACAGAGTCAGCCGCTCAACCTTGTTCCCTTGCTGACAGCTTCCTGGTCGGGGAYGATGGCAGGGTGTATGAAGGTGTTGGTTGGAACGTCCCAGGCTCGCACACCCAAGGCTACAGCAACATTTCCCTGGGCGTCGCCTTCTTCGGCACCAAGGAAGGTAATGACCGCCCCCGACGAGCCCTCTCCAGAGTCCTTGCCACTCAACACGGCCTGCTCAACGCCATGCAGCCTTCCCTGACTTCTCCCAAGATCCAACCCAGAATTCAGTCTCCCTCGGCCTCCCTGTCATGGCTTTGTGAGGACGCTTCTCCACCTGCTCTGACGTCTCTCAGTCTCCACGGCAGCCCCTCTTCTTCTAGCCATCTTGTAGGAAGAGCTGCTCATGAGTTCTCTCTCTGCAAGCAAATTCCCCTGCTCTTCTGGAAAGAGCCGGGCTTCCTCTGTCACCTCTGGGTGAATGACTATCTCGTCTTCCTCTAATGTCAACTTTCTGTAGCCGCAGACTGAACCCCCAGATTCCTGCCTGACACCGCCTCCTTCCATCTCTCACTCCCAGAGTTTCCATACTTTGTTTAAAAATGACTCAGAGGTCCCCGGTCTCTGACTCCACTTTCTTCTAGCCTATTGCTCCACATGCCATGCCGTTGGCCTTGGCCTTGGAACCTACATTGTCCGGGGCCATTTCCCTGAATTTGTGCACCCCTTCCTGTTAACCAAGATCTTGAATACCAATACTCTCTGAGGTTGTCCAGGTGGATTTCACAGTTTCTGTTACCACAAGGTGCAGCCTATGTTTCAGAGAAGTAAATAACTCACAGAGACACAGCCGTAATAGAGGAATCAGCACGTGAGTGTGTATCCTCCACGGCCAACTCCGGGGTGGGGCGTTTCCAGCCTGCCAGAGACTCACCGGGTCAGCAGTTTGGTTTACTAATTGATTAGTTGATGTATTTCTTTATAAACTTTGATGACTACTTATTGCCTCTTGTTGGCTTGGGATTTTGAACATGTTACTTTTTACAGCCTCAAGTTCCTCTACATGGATAATGGGCTTAATGATAGCTTCTGCCTCAGAGGTTTGTGGGGAGGATTAAATGGTTGCATGTGGGCAGAGTCTGGCTCGTGCCTGCCGGGGCCCTACTGATGGGTGGCCCTGGCCTGAGCTGGCCAGCACTGTTGAGTGGTCGCTGCCTCTGTGTTCTCTCATGAATGGAGGGAGTCGACAGAGGAGTCCTGGCAGGTCACTGGGAAAGGGCCTCATCCTGGGCCACAGAGAACTCTGTCCTGGCAGACCCTGGCCTCTCAGGCCTGGGGAGGAGCCTGCTGGGCAGGGCTTGGCCGGTGTCCCTTCTCCTTTCAGTCCCCTGAAGCTCAGGTCAGACTGAGAGTCCCCACAATTGCTCTCTCCCAGGCCTCAGCCCCAGCCCTGCCGCCCTGTCAGCCATGAAGGACCTCGTCTCTTACGCCGTGCAGAGGGGACACCTGTCACCTAGCTACACYCAGCCACTTGTGAGGGGCGAGAACTGCCTGGCTCCTCCCCCAAAGGCAAGGCTGAGGCACGGTGAGACCTTCGGCCCTGCTGGGCTCCATCCAGGGTGGCTCCTCACTGGACGCGGGGGTGACTTCCCACCAGGCTCTCCCCAGATTCCTCTTGAAACTTTGGGGCTGGCGGACCTTGAGGGGGACCCTCCAGGGCACCTCTTTCCCCCTCGGATTCCTAGAATGGCAGAGCCTTGGCATTATGCCTGGTGTTATMTCTGTGCACTTGTTTCTTCAAATTCATAGACATTTACCGAACACCTACTAGACCCTCAGGATATACGGAATATTAAAATCCCTGACCTCGTGATGCTTCCATCTACAGGGCAGAGAAAAATGCAAATAAACCAGAAAAAYACTTGGCATGTTATATGGTAGAAAATGCTAGGGATGCGGGGGAAAGAGTACAGAAAGGGATAGGGTGTTTCTACACCTATTTATGTATTCATATGCTTCCATACAAACACATTTCTGAATACAGGTGGTGCATACGTATAATTCTAGTGATTTGAGAGGCTGAGGCAGGAGGATGGCAAGCGTGAGGCCAGCCTCAGCAACTTAGTGAAACCCTGTCTCCAGATTAAAAACTAAAAAGGACTAGGATGTCGCTCAGTGGTGAAGTGCACCTGGGTTCCACCCCCAGCACCGGCCCCCTCCCGGAAAAGTAGAACCACACTAGGGCTGAGGAGACTTAGGGAACCACTTATGTGGATTTTAAAGGAAGAGTTTAATTATCATCATGTTTTTGCCCTGCCATAGCTTGCCCGAGCATTGTCCCYCGGTCTGCTTGGGGGGCCAGGGAGACCTACTGTCCCAAGATGACCCTTCCTGCTAAGTACGTGGTCATCCTCCACACTGCGGGGAGGAGCTGCGGAGTGTCTGAGGAGTGCCGCCTGCTGGTGCGCGACCTGCAGTCCCTCTTCATGGACAGACGCCACGCCTGCGACGTGGGGTATAAGTAAGYGGGCCCCAGCACGGGGGCTTCTTTTCTGGTTTCTGGGGGCAGAATCTGAGCCTCTGGAGGGAAGGAGAAGGCAGTAGGATCTCCTGAGTTCTCACCTTGTGAAAGACCCTCCAGGCTGGCCTCAGGGATGCCCATCCAGTCCTGGGAGGGTCTTATTTAGGAGTTATCTCAGGGGGTGTTCGTGGCCCTGGGCAAGTTCTTAAGACACRCGCCTCTCTCAAAGGTAGCATATTGGCATGGCGGATGCCCAGATTGTTGAAATACCACCGGGGAGGCACCTGTGTGCCAGGGGGATCTTCAGACAAGACGATCTCAGGTGGTGACCTTTTCATGCAAGTGTTTCCCTCTGCTCAGTGGCTCAGGCTCCGTCCCTCAGTGTGGCCACATCTAGAAGCTGTTCCCACTCAGGACACAGTGCCATCCTCTGCAGCCAGCCTGTGGGCCTACTGCGAGAGAGTCTTCCCTGTATGAAGGAGAGGGAGGAGCTGCCAGGGTCTGGGAGTCTTCATTAAGGAACACACTGACCTAACGGGAGGCCAAACCAGTCCTCCCTCCCTTCCTTCTTTTTTTCTCCTCATTAAGCGTAGCCCAAATGGGGCTCAAAATTCCGTGCCGGTTTTGGTCAGGTTGTTTCCATGTAGAGTGCCAATTTTAAAAACTTGTCCCTTAATACTGGCACACAGGAACCAAACGGTCCACAAAACAGGTAGAGGTGTCTCGAGGATGCGTCCAGAGCTTGCAGATAAGAYATTTGGGGGCTGCACACCGTCTCACGTCCCATCAGATATAATCACATTAAGTATTAAGTCTCAGGACAGGCCACGGCTAGCCCAGTACCTATTCCTACACATTAATAAAGGGAACCCCCACTTCTGGGGACATTCACAGCTTAGCAAAGTGGAGCTGGATGTTAGTAGCCCAAGCTGGCACCTTTGCATAGGATGTGGCCTGTGGAGCCCTGGGCGGGGCCTGTCTTAGATGAATTTCCATTGCTCCATGTGGGCCTCTGGGCTGCTGAACCTCTGTTCTGTTTCCATTGTAGTAATAACCCTTTCAAGAGAGGATATAATGTTTTTTTTCCAACATCTATCATTTATCAGGACCTTCCAAGTGCTGTGTTAGGTCCTGCCACGGAGGATTGATGTCCTCCTCAGTGACACTTAAATGTCTGTACATTGACTGTGAATTTGGAAATCCTGAACAGGGAAATGACGGAGGATGAGGAGGGGTCTTTCCCCTTTCTACTCAGATTCCTCAACGCTGTCACCTGTCTTTTGACTTCTGACTTTTTATTGTGTCCCTTCTATTATACTACATGACTGTCATTTTGTCACCTTGGGAGGGCCTAGAGTCAGGATAGACACTTGCTTTTCACACGAGATCGCCCTAGACTGTGCTCTGGGGATGCTGTTTGGGCGGAACAGAGACACATTCTTGCCTTTATGGAGCTAGTACTTTAGGGAGGGAGAAAAAGGGTTGAACAAGTTAAGCCTCAGTGAGGTGCAGTAGGTGGCTGAAGGAGGGCTCAGGTTGCTGGGGAGATGGCTGCAAGGACAGGTTACCTGAGGGAGTCACACACGAGCTGGGACCTAAAGACCCAGTGGGAACCAATCAGAGGAGGAGGAACATTTCCGATAGAGGAAGGGACTTCTATGGAAAGGCTTGGAGTCCAGCCCGAGAGCAGTCCCTTTGAGAAGCGGAGAGGTGTTTCTCGTGAGCACAGAGATGCTAAAGAGGGGTGTGGGGGGAACAGGGGCCATGTCCTGAAGACCTTGTGACTTGAGCTGGGGAGCTTGGACTTGGTGCCAAGGACCCAAAGCAGGATTTTAACATGACCTGCAGCGTATTTTCAAAAGGCCACTCTAGCTGTGGCTCCAGGAAGGGATCTGAAGAGGGCAACACTGGAGGTAGCCAGGTCCGAGGGCTGTGTAGCCATCCAGGCCAGGTGATATGGCAGCACAGCTGGGGTGATGGCCTCTGTCATGGAGAGAAGTGGAAGAGGTGATGGTGAAYGACTGGGTGCAGGGGCAGGGGAGTGGCGGGAGACACTGCACCCAAGCGCGGGTTGAGCGAGTGGGTGGGCTGGGGACTGTGTTTGTGCCCATGACCCGTGGGCAGTGGGTGGCAGCACCTTTCTCCAAGATGAGATCCCAGGAAGGAGCAGACGGGAGGAMGTGGGTCCAGTCGGGAACTTGTGGACTTTCATGGATCGTAAAGGAGCCAAGGAAGTGGGTGTGTTGAGGGACAAGAGGCTTAAAGAGCAGGACCCTGAGGCCCCCAGGAAGGCCACAGGAATCTGAGGGGCAGAGAGGGGGCAGCCAGAGGAGAAAGCTGGGAGGGTGTGGTGTGGGGGAAGCCCCGGAAGAGAATGTTTGGAGAAGGTGAGAGGGCCGACAGAGTCCAGTGTGCGAAGAGGCCAAGCCAGGTGAGCCTAGAGATGGGCGCGTGTCCTCCGTGGAGGAGGCTGTGGGCCAGCTTGGAGAAAGTCGTGTTATTGTCGAGGTGGGGGAAAGGCAGGCACGGAAAGCYGTCTTTCCARTTTCCTCATTGACAGTGAGCTCCTYGAGTCAGGAGTGATGTGCTGGAGCCAGATGGGCACGGGCCAGCTCAGAGGACTGACAGAGATTCAGGAATTTTCTGAGCCAGCTGCTAAATAGCTGGTAGCCTAAAATCAGCTACGGTGGGAGTTTTCTTCCCCAGAAATCTACAAATGCTATAAATYAGGGTCCTCCCAACCCCAAGCTGATTTAAGGACTCCATCTGACTTGTTTCTGTGACCCAGTGCTTAGAATTTAATATGATATCTGGTGAGAAGAGACGTGAGTGACTTAGGAAGGACGATGAGAAGCCATCCCAGAGTGCCTGTCTCTCATGCCCATCTCCACCGCCTCGTGTCCTGTAGCTTCCTCGTGGGCCAGGATGGTGCCGTTTACGAAGGGGTCGGCTGGAATGTCCAAGGCTCCCGAACCCCTGGCTACAATGACATCGCCTTGGCCATCTCGTTCATGGGCACCTTTACAGGTAAGTGGATGCTCTGGGCAGTGGTGGTCATCGTATGGTATCTTAGGGAGAAGGTCTGGGCGTGGGTGACAGAGACATCAGACTCAGGCACTGTCTAAATGACTGCCCGTGTGGAGCTTCAAATCTGACATTTAACTAGGCTGAGCGTGGCCAGAGGTGACCGTCAGATGGAACTCACCTCCTGCTCACGCAGCCAGATCTCTCTCTTCCAACCCCTAAGGGACACAAGGAGCCATCTTTGTGCAGACTGGTAGCTCATCTTAGCAGACACGTCATTTCTTGGTTGCCATGGCAGCAAGTGGCACCCCTTCACCTTATATGTCACAGCATGGATAAACCCTGACTCTGCATTGAGACTGCACACTCCATACAGTGAATATCGTCACGGACCAGAGTCCTTGACTAGAGTGGTTTTTCTTTTCAATATTCAGGTGCTTTTTGTTGAATCCCTGGAGAGAGGGGCGGCTATGTCACTGGGGCTGGTTCAGGCTGAGACAGAAATGGGAATTGGGTGGGGGCAGGAGTGACCCAGGACTGTGCCTGGAAATGGGGCTGACATGAGGTCAGGASAGGTGAAGAAGGAGCAAGCAAATCTCTGGGTAAAGCACAGTTTCCTGGCCTTGGTGATTCTGACGGGTCACATCAGATAATTTTCTGTTGTGGCACTGTCCTGGGTCTACAGTCCTGGGCCTTAGGATGCTTAGCAGTATTCTTGGCTTCCGTCAAATGGAGGATAACAGTATCTTCCCATTCTTAATTTTGACAACCAAACTGTCTCCAGACCTTGCCACGTGTTCCCTGGGGGAGGTAAACTTTCCCCTGTAAGATAGACTTTTGCAGTGGAAAAAGGCTTTGCATATTCTCAGGAGAATGAGTTTCTTACCCCAGACTCAGCCTTTTGATTTGGGAAAACTTTGGCCCTGAGGCACTGAAGTCTAGACCTGGTTTCCTCTCTGTCCTTTGAGTGGCTGACTGTAAGGGTTCTGTGTTCAGGATTGGGGTCCCTGATAGCTTCATGACTGTGGATGGTTGGTGGCTGAGGAAGTTTCTGTGCAAAGGCACAGAATGCTAGGAAACCCTGGCTGCTGTGGCAATGCCCTGCATGGAGAGGCTCTGCCTTAGAGTCTTATCAGCCTCGACCTTGGTCTCAGACACTGAGCTCCTGGGAATAAAGGAACTCTCTTGTTAGACAACCACAGTGTTTCACCAAGCTCCGCTGGGCCTGAACCTGTCCACAGAACAGTAACTGTAACAATGGACTTTCTTGAGAGCTGCACAACGCTCCTCACATTGCACATTGCAACTGTCCTGTGTAAGTGAGGAAGAAGCTGCACAGTGTTGCTAACTCTGTAACCTGCCCAGTGACACAGTGAACAATGTGTACTTCGGATGCCAGGGACCTTGTGCAACCTGTTGATACAAATAAAGCTGGCAGCTGGCACAAGGCGCTTCCGCCCCTGCCCCTGGCTTCTGTCTCCTTTTGTTTCTGTGACAGCTGACAGCAGTGGCCCSTACTAGCTTGGTGGTGGTGGTTGGCTCTAGGGGTGTGTCCTGCCCTGGACAGGGCGCCCTGGAATTCCTATGACCAAGGGACCACTGTGTTTGCAGGTACTGCGCCRAATGCCTCTGCGCTGGAGGTGGCCAAGGACCTGATCCAGTGTGCCGTGGTCAAGGGGTACCTGGCCCCCAACTACCTGCTGGTGGGCCACAGTGATGTGGCCAATACTCTGTCCCCGGGACAGGCTTTGTACAACATCATCAAGACTTGGCCTCACTTCAAACACTGAGGGAGGCCCAGCTCCTGAGGCTGCTCAACCGGCTGCTGGGACTCTGTCCCCACCTCCCACCCATCTGTGTCCCCCTCCCCTGCAAGTCCCACCTGGCTCAAATAGGTCCTCACCCTCAACCTTCTGCCCCAGCCCCTCCACTGTCTCCCCCACCTGAACAACCTGACTTCTCCTCTCCACTCACTAGATCAAAAACTAAACAACCGCCTTTCCTCAAACCATTGCCTCTTTTCTGAGGTAGCAGGTACTGAAGGAATCCTCTTACCCACTCACACCTCTCTTCTGTCAGTGCCTACACC